CATAAAATTATTTTCGTTGCTACTTCCTGTCATTTTGCTACTGTTATGAATTGGGCGATCCCTGTGAAAGGGTTGTTCAACCCCCAAAGGGGTCGTGACCCACAGGTTGAGAACCCCTGCTCTAGTACCAGCGTGACAGCCACTCCAGTGCTCAGCCCCTCAGGAGCCTCCGCTGGGGGCCGGTGGGTGGGTGGAGGGGAGAGAAACAAGAGTCTCGCCGAAGCACGACCACCAGCGTTGGTTAATTCCCTCTCTGCAAGAGCAGCCAGCCGACGCCCCTATTTCACAAACTAACAGACACATCAAACTCACTGCCCTCGAGTCGATTCTGGCTCACAGTGACCTGTAGGGTCTCGTCGGGGTGCCGGGCCCGTGGGAACAAGAATGTGGGGCCCCCTATCTCCTAGGATGTGGTGCTGATGAGGGCCCTGCGAGACATGAACCTGCCCAAGTTTGTCTTCGAAGACGTCCCCCTCTTCCTTGGCTTGATTTCCGACCTGTTTCCTGGCCTGGACTGCCCGCGTGTCCGCTACCCTGACTTCAATGACGCCGTGGAGCAGGTGCTGGAGGACAACGGCTACATCCTCCTCCCCATCCAGGTGAGCCAGGCTTCGGGGCAAGCTCTCAGGGCGTCAGATTCCCCGAGTTTGTCCTGGGGGGACCAAACCATCCCAACACTCTCACCCCGCCCCCTTTTTCTCCGAGCATCGCAGATGCTAACAACGTTTAATCAGTTGATGCAGTTTCTTGTGGCTAAAATACACACACACAGGCTGTATGTATATGACAAAGAAGGGGCCCGGTGGTGCAGTGGGTGAGGTCGTCAGCTCAATCTCCGAGCTGCTCCACAGAGAACGATGTGACGCGGTCTGCTCCCCTGCAGATTTACAGCCTTGGGAGTCATCAGACGCAGATCTGCTCTGTCCTGTAGGGCTGCAGTGAGTGGGGATCGGGCTGTACAGAAATCTTGTCCCTTCCGAAATCCCACGTTCCCCGCCAGGAGCAGCCAGCACCGCTGTCCTTCTCAGTTGTGTCCACCCATCCTCCCTCCCCTGGACACCACAGACACATAGGGTCTGGCTTTATAGCCGCCGTGGAGAGCAGCTTGGAAGTTGTTCCAAACAAAAACCAAACTCACTGCCATCGAGTTGATGCCGACAAGCAGTGACCCTCTGGGACAAACTGCCCCCGTGGGTTTCTGCGACAGTGGCTCATTGTGAGAAGAAAGGCCTGCCTTTCCTCCAGTGAAGCGGCTGGTGGCCTTGAACTGCTGACCCTGCAGCTGACAACGGAGCGTCACTGTCAGACCAGCCGTTCCCCTCCAGGTGCCCACCCGAGAGAGTGGAGCACGGCCCACAGATGCTGTCCCCCCGTGCTCACCGGGCCTGGGCGTGGCTGTCGTGTGCGCGGAGGCTATTCCCACGCCTAGCCCCGTGGGACAGACCCGACCGGCCCCAGAGGGGCTCCCTGGCTGCCGTCTTGTGGAAGCCAGCCGCTTCCTCTTTCTCCCACAGCGAGGCTGGGGAGTGTGCTTGCTCAGCAGCCGGAGTTTCCCTGCAGCACCGCAGAGGATCCGAAGGTCCGGCTCTGACGGCGGAGGGCTCTTGACAGCATGAAGTTATGGGAAAGAAATGAGACTCACAGCCCTTGAGGCGATCCTGGCTCTCAGCAAGCCTGTGGCGCAGAGTAGACCTGCTCCTGTGGGTTTCTGACCGGAAACCTTTACGGGAGCCGATTTCCTTTCGCTCTTTCTCCATCCTTCCCCATGGTGGGTTTGAACCGCCGGCCTTGTGGTTAGCGCCCAACTCATAAGACACTGTGTCCCTCTTTGAGGGAAAAAAGCCAGTCACAGAAGGCTGCACACTGTAAGGCTCCGTTTATGCAGAATGGCCAGCACGGGCAAACCCGTGGACCCAGGAAGCAGACTCACGGTTGCCAGGGTAGGGTGGGGGGCGGTTGGGGGTGGGGGGTGTTAGGTTATAGTTTCTGGGCACAAGGTATCTTCTGGGGTGATCAAAGTATCCTAAAGTTAACTAGTGATGGTGGTTCCTTCCGTGACCGTACTAAATGCCATGGGTTGTGTCCTTTAAGTGGGTAAGTGTTACAGGATGGGAACCAAGCTGTGTCATACAAAGGTGCATTCTAACCTGCTGCCCACCTGTGTCCCCAGGTGGATAAAGTGGTCCAGATGTTTGAGACCATGATGACACGCCACACGACCATGGTGGTGGGGCCCACCGGAGGGGGCAAGTCCGTGGTCATCAATGCCTTGTGTCAGGCCCAGACTAAGTGAGTAGCCACCCGGTTCCCAGGCTCCTCAATTCACTTCCTGGAAGGCTGGGATTGTCTAGAACCCCTCCATTAAGCCCTGAGCCTCTCTGCCTGTTTCACTGCTGGGGGGGGGTGTCACTGGCTGTAAAATAGTGACACCCACCCCCTGCCATTAAAAACCCAATGCCATACTGACTCCCCATGCCCTTCTAGGACAGAGTAGAACTGTCCCCCATGGAGTTTCCGAAGCTGCAACTTTTTATGGGACCAGAAATCCTCCTCTTTCCCCTGAGGAGCGGCTGGTGGGTTCAAGTAGCCCACCTTGTGGTGAGCAGCCCTCTGGGTGGGCTCGTATCCATGAAGTTTCAGGAGGCGGCCCAGCATGTGACTGTTTGCGCAGCCAACGATTCCCCATTTCTGGCTAGGATCTCATTTGGCCTTCTTATCTGTTCACAGGTTTCCCGTGAGCCCTCTGTAGCCAGCACTGGGTGGCCCAGGCTGGCGGTTCAAGCCCACCAGCCTCTGTGTGGGAGAAAGAGGAGGCCGTCTGCTCCCATAATGCCTTACAGTCCCAGAAACCTTAGATCGGCTCACTGTGACCCAGAATAAATGCAGTGGCAATGAGTTTTGGTTTGGGGAGGGAGGGTGCCAACCAGAATGTCAGGCTGCCAGCCAAAGCATCAGCAGTTTGAATCCACCAGCCGTGCCAGTCTGCTTCCATAGAGATTGGCAGCCCTGGGGCATTCTCGAGGGGCTCTCTGGGCTGGCATCAGTTTGGCAACCATGTGTGGTTCCATGCAAATATGCTGCGTGCTTGAGTGTGTGAGTGATTCTGTTAGGAACACGGATGTGTGTGTGTGTGGGGGGGGGCGGACACCTAAGCGAGCAGCTTCCTGCTGCCCCCAGAGCTCTTGTCGGCTCTGGGTCCGTGTGCACCACGGGGCAGAAAGCCCAGCTGTGGGCCTGAATGGGTTGTATGCTGAGTTCTGGACTCGACTCGACTCGGAATGGTTGGCAGGTGCCACTTGCTCTCGTCCCCACCCCCCCAACCCCGTCCCCTGCTGAAGTGCCTCTCTGATTTAGGCTGGGGCTGCTGACCAAGCTGTACATCCTGAACCCCAAAGCCATGAGCGTCATCGAACTCTATGGCATCCTGGACCCCACCACCCGGGACTGGACAGACGGGGTGCTGTCCAACATCTTCCGGGAGATCAACAAGCCGACGGATAAGAAGGAGCGGAAGTGAGCATGGGGGAGGAAAGGGCCGGGCTTAATCCGTGGGGGTGGTGGGGTGGTCTGGTCAGCCCCGACTCAAGGAGCCCATGCACAAAGGGCGGGACACTGCCTCATCCTGCACCTCCCTGTGATCAGTTGCAGATCAGACTAGCATGATCCAGAGGGTTTTTAATCAGCTGGTTTTCAGGAAAACCAGGCCTTTCTTCCCAGTCTGTCTTTGTTTGGGAGGGCCGCTGAAACCTGTCAGCACCACCACCAACACGCAGCCCTCTCCTGAGAGAGGGGTGAAGGGCGTGCCAAACTGCCGTGGCCAGGAATCAAACCCAGGTCTGCAGTGTGGTCCTGCCACGAAACCACCACTCGTGGTATCTGTAATCCTGGCTGGTGTTCAGTGGTGAGACTCATGACGAAGGCAAGGTGCAGGGCACTTAGCACTGGCTGGCCAGGCACGGCCCCAGGGGAACAGATCCCGATCCGAGAGCCTCTGCTCATGGAGAGCTTTGATTGGTATTCCCGTCAGTGCTGCCCAGGGGCTGGCACTGGGGTTGCCCTCATCTTACCACAGAGGCACCTCGAGAGGGGCAGCTGTCAGCTGGACACCCTTAGACTTCAGGAGAAGTCAAGGCCAGCAGCAGCGCCGGGCGTCATCAGTGCTGTGGACACTGCTCACTACCCCACCGGGGCCTGGGGGCAGGAGGGTGAGCCCTGACAGGGACCCCAGGGAAGATGTCTTTTCCAGCCTGAGCGATCCCTGCCATGCCTGGATGCCAGCCCTGCAGCCAGCCTGGTCATCGTGCGCCCCAGATCCGATTGAGCCAAGGCAGTTAGAATCATTAGACATTCCTAAAGAATGAGACTCTAAGCTCCCAGCGGATAGCCTTTGAAGACGAGCTCGTAGTTTTCAAGGCCAGGTGAGGCTGACGGGAAAATAGGTAGAGTGCGGAGTTCCCGGGGCCACCCTCCTGCCTGCACACCCCACGCCCAGCACACGGTGTCTCCTGTTATGCCCGTTGCACATGGGACGTGGTTCATTGGCTACAACCCATGGGCCAACAACCAAAACCCAAACCATGCTCAGTGCCATCGAGTTGATTCCGACGCATGGCGACCCTATAGGCCAGGGTAGAGCTGCCCCTGTGGGTTTCTTCATGGGAGTAGGAAGCCTCATCTTTCTCCCACGGAGCAGCTGGTGGTTTCAAACTGCTGACCACAAGGTTGGCAGCCCAACAAGTAACCAACTGTATCACCGGGGCCAATACCGGGGAGGGCTTCAAAAAATTCACAGAAAGATTGCATTGTCTCTTCATTCCACTTTCCACGGACTTTTTGAAACTCTCTCTTAGTGGTCAGACCATACCTTGGTTCCCAGATGCTGCATTTCCCAGAAATGCCTGCGCCACCCCCCCCACCCCCCCCCACCCCCCGCGGAGCAGATCCACCGACGCCATTTTCCCAGCAGTCGCACTCACGTGGTGTCTCTGCTCCGGTTTGGTCATTCTCACCACGGTCCCACCTTTCCCACCGAACGTGTCTGTGTTCCGGGAAGCCAGCGGGCCCTGATGGTGCGTTTGGTCCCACAGCATGCGCTCCTTTGTGTCCCTGGCCCCGATTTGGTCACTTGTGCAATGTTTCTAAGTTTTACATAAGGCTTTTTGCGGTTTGTAGACGAGCGACTCGCTCTATTGCGGCACTTGCTCTATTGCCCAGAATCACACCTGTGCTGTCTCTGAGGTCCGCCTGTGCCTATACCTATACTGGCAGGTTGAATGGCAGTAGTATCCAACCGCCGTTCCCTCGGTTAAAAGACCTAGCTGTCTTTTGGCTGTGGACTTGGCTGTGACACAACAGTGCACCAGGAGGTTGTAACAGGAGAGATGCAAGTGAGCAGGAGGCTGCCTCCCAGGGGCTTTGGAGCCTCTCTGCCAGGACAGGTGTAGCCAGGGCTGTGGGCTCAGGTGCTCCCAGGGGCCCAGCAGGTAGCCTCGCTTCGCTCTTGACTTTATCCTGTGAGAAAGCAACATGGTCAGAATCTGAGCCAATGGAGATAGATGCTCAGCCCCAGATTACAGGCGAGAATGGAGTGTGTGTGTGTGTGTGTGTGGAGGGGGCACTGTAACACTGGATAGTATCCCCAGGTCCCCAGGGCGCAGAGCTCCTCAGCTCCTGCAGATTGTCCCCACGTGGAGTGCAGGCCTGGGCCACCCGGCCTGCCAGTTAGCCAGCAAAGCAGGAACTCTAGGGCTCTGTTTTAGGCTCTCTGATTCTTACATGTCAGGGACTAATTAAAAGTTACATCCGGTGTGGAGAAGCAGAGGGGCCTCGGACAGGAGGCAGGCCCTCAAGGAGATGGCAGGAGGACATGGAAATGGACAAGCCACAGTGGGCTGGAGCAGAATAGCTCTGAGGATGAAGAAGGACCAGTGTTCCCTTCATGCCGGCGTGCAGGTGGTCGCTGTGAGTCGGAACCCACCGGAAGGTACCTAACAGCCACCACAACGGACACCTGCACCATGTGCACCAAACAAAGTCGGGGACGACGTTGGGTGTTTGGTCTCGGATCTCGGCTAGAGAACCCTGGATGGAGGCGTTCTCCATGGTTGGGTACCAGCCTCCTGGGACTGATAGCTGGTGGTCGCGGGGGCCTCGGCTCACCTTCCTCCTCCGGCTGCCACAGGTACATCCTCTTTGACGGGGACGTGGACGCCCTGTGGGTGGAGAACATGAACTCGGTGATGGACGACAACAAGCTCCTGACGCTGGCCAACGGAGAGCGCATCCGGCTCCAGGCACACTGCGCCCTGCTCTTTGAGGCAAGTGCTCAGCGAAGAGCAGGCGGCACGCTGATTTCAAGGTCATACTTAAGTGTTCGTCAACGTTGTAATACGAATGGTTATGGAAACAAAGAATGCGAAACATTTCACGATGAGGAAAACCCTTTCCTTTCTACATGGAAACACCCCTCCCGTTATTCTATCCCCAGAGGTAAACTCCCCTCTCACCCTACCCTGGACCCATAAGTAGCATGTTGAGCAGGCTCCCTCCAAGTTTGTATATTATCTACTGATTGACTGCTGTGAGAGCAAGGATTCATTTGTGTAACTTCAAATTGTGAATTAGGTGATGGACTATGCACAACTCAGACGCCCTTGGCTGCACTTCTCCACTGCAGCCCCTCACTGTCCACTCACCGTCTGCTTTCTCCGGGGGCTCTTGTTTCCCTTCCTTCCTCTCTCCTGACCCTCTGCTTGTTGTCGTGGGTGCGTGCTGCTCTTTTGATCTTCAGTGACGGATTCTTCTACCAGAGGGGTGGCTGAGGGCCATAGTCTCAGCGTCCCAAGTGTCTCCATCTGGCCGGTAAGCTGGGTCTCTCTTATGACTTGGCATTTTGTTCTGCATTTTCTCCACTCCATCCGGGGGCTTTGATGTGGTCCTTTTTCAGGGCAGTTGGCAGTGTCAGGAGGGCACCTTCTGGTTCTTCTGGTCTCAGGGCTATGGAGACTGAGGTTGGCATGTCCCATCAGTTCGTTGTATGAATTGTCTCCATATATCCTCAGTTCCATCACCCTTTCCCCCCTCTGGATGGGGAGAGACCAGTGGCACCACCTTAGGTTCTACTCACAAGCTTTTAAGACCAGTACTCCCCCAGCAGGATGCAGAACGGAGTCTTTGTGAACGATGTTATGCCAATAGACCTTGTTGTCCCCCGAGACTGTGGTCCTAATCCCCCCGGCCCAGCACCTCCCTCTCTCAAGGATAAAGGACTCCTTTCTTACGCCCTCCCTTTTCCATCAGAGCAGTATGTTAGTAAGTCATTGGATCAATAGGAAAATACGTACTGCAGAGCCAACTGGTACCCTGTGATGACGTTCTTTTAGAACCATTTGTTTTGCCTGGAATTTCTAGTCGGCTTCCTTTCCCTCTCACACTATTTACCTTAATCTAATCCTCATTTCGTCTTCAAACTTTCTATCATTGCCTGCGGAGGCTCTGTTCACCCACCCTGGAGACTACTCCCCGGGGACCCCTCCACCTCTGGGTTACAATGTGGACCCCTTGCCCTCCTGGGCTGATTCACAGCTGTTCCCCTGGGAGTTCCTCTCACTTTCGTTGAAGGTCACTCATGTCCTTAGGTTGGGCTGCAAAACATACTTGTGGGGCCACAGTTAGAAGTGTGTATATATATATATGTGTGTGTGTGTATATATATGTGTGTATATATATATATATATATATATGGAGAGAGAGAGAGAGGAGAGAGGTGGTGGGGAGATAAGTGAGCTACTATTGCTGATTGGGTGGGTACTTATTATGTGCATATTACCTGATCTTAGCCACATTTAAAAAGTCTGAAGGGGAAAAAAAAACTGCAAGCGGATGGTTGTCCCTGTGTCGTGGGATTTCTTTCACACAACAGCTGTTGTGTCTTCACTGAGGTGTTTTGCACAGCATCTTCATCATCGTTTCATCACACACCAAGCGCTAGATTTGGTGCCTCTCAGGAAAGCGGTCTTAACTTGGACATAACGGGCTTTATGCAGCTGGGGAGACTTTGTACAAGAAAAGGCACAACGTTTATGTTTTGTTCTCTTTCGTTTTTAAACATCATTCCTCCAGGTTGGAGATTTGCAGTATGCCTCTCCGGCCACCGTGTCTCGATGTGGAATGGTCTACGTGGATCCTAAAAACTTGAAATATGAACCCTACTGGAAAAAATGGGTTAATCAAATGCAAAACAAGGTGAGAAGTATTTCTGCAAAGTGAACTAAATGTCAATGGTCGTGGTGGAAACATAACCCAGAGGGAGGTTTGTAGCTGAAGGCCATGACCTTGACCTGCCTGTGACCTTGACAGCTTCCACATCAATATTCAGTACCTTGGATAAAAGCAGGGCAGCTGTTACATCATCATACAATTCTTAGCTGGTGGCGGCAGTTAATGATTTTCTGAGCCTAGATTAAGGGTCGGGGACTCTCTGCGAAAGGACTAAGAGTGGCTCTTGCAGACTTTGTGGGCCCCCTGGTTTCTTCTGCAGCTGCCTAACTCTGCCCTGAGCAGCGAGCCCTGGTGGCGTAGCAGGTTGCTCATTGGGTGGATAACTTCAAGGTCAGCAGTTCAAATCCACCAGCCACTTCACGGGAGAAGGACAGAGTTTCCAACTCCAGTCAAGACTTACAGTCTCAGAAACCGTGGGGCCAGTTCTTCTCTGTCCTGTGGGGTCGCTTTGAGTTTGGTCTAAGAATCCTGCCATTGGATCCTAAAATCAGCCATAGACATATGCAAATGAGTGGGCGTGGTTGTCTGCGAAGAAAACTTTATGGGCCAACAAGACGGTAGGCCAAAGCTGACAAGGGGACATGGCTGTCCAACCCCTAGTCCAGATGAGGCCAACTGGTGGGAGACACGTCACCAGGTACCCAGCACCTTCCTCAGTGGGCTGAGTGGTTTTAGCTGACCTCACTCAAAAGTGCGCATGTTCTCGGAGGGAGGCTCATGGGCTTCGTGGAGAGGCGCAGAGATGGGGGTGGCCGTTTCCTTTGCAGGGTGGCGGCTGCCCACACCCAGGACTCCACGCTCAAGTCTTCTACAAAGGCTGGTGGGCGTTAGAAACCATGACATAATCACCCCAAGGAAGACCAAGGGAAAGAGAATAGGACTATTCGGGACACTCCTATGCGTTTTGTGCGGCCCCTGGTGTCACCCATGCATGACCTGCAGAGGGCCCTCCACTATCTCACATTTTTTGCTGGGCGAGGTTGGCTATGTCACTCGAACACCTAGGTGATCAGACCTCCTCCTATTGTCAAACGGGACCCGTTAGCCCCACCACCTCTCCCCTCCCAGGCTTGAGAGACAAGACACTTTCTGTGGGGTCAAAGTGCTTCCTGCCCAGTGAACTGTAAGTGTATTGTACAGGCTACTTCCGTCCACAAAGATGTGGCATTGCGATCCAGGTTTGTGCACCACCCACATTTGCCGGAAGTTTCCCACATTTCCTCGGGCCAGAAAATCTTTCCACTGACTTCCATGGACACGCACAGGCCTTTGAAAAGGTTTTGCAATCTCCTCTTCTGTAGACGGAGCAAGGCGATTTACAGCTTCTCTTTAATAAATACGTGCCCTATCTCATTGACGTGATTGTGGAAGGAATCGTGGATGGGAGACAAGGAGAGAAGCTGAAGACGATAGTGCCTCAGACAGACCTAAATATGGTAAGAAGCGATCGCCCGTTTAGGAAAAAAAAATCCTCCCCTCATGATAGACCCCGCCCAGTAGGCTTTCTAGGGGAGTAGGGATACCAGATGGATAAACTGTAACACTGACGGTTACGATTAGGGGAGATAAGGAGACTTGATGGCGTAGTGGGTTATGCATTGGGCTGCTACCTGAAAGGTCGTCCGTTCAAAGCCTTCAGCTGCTTCGTGGGAGAAAGATGAGGCTGTCTTCTGAGGTAAAGGTTCACAGTCTCCAACCCCAGAGAGCAGCTCTACGCTGCCAGGTAGGGTCACTAAGATCCAGAATCGCCTTGATGGCAGCGGTTGGCTATTAGGGAAGACACAACACTTCCTTCCATTTGTGACGTTGTTCGAAACAAGACGGTGGAGCCCATTCATCAGAGCCAGTCAGTCTGGTGGGCCTCCTTCCCGGGTGGTGAAAGGGCCAAGCTCTTGATGACTGGAAGCTACCCAGAGGCACCTCAGGAGACAGACTTGGTACTCAGTGGGCCAAGGAAGGTATGTGAAGGGTCCCACCTGTCACGTGTCAGCTGACCTTCCACGGCTGCTAGAAAGTACATTTTCTCCGTGTCCGGCTTCCCTGGGAGGGGCAGAGATGCACGTGATGTGAGCTGGAAACCCGACCGAGCGCACACGGGGGCGCCATGAGTCGGCATCAACATGATGACCCTGTAGGCAACCTTCTGCTTGTCCGTGCGGGTGGTCCCATTGCCCTGGGATGTGGGAACCGAGTGCTTACCACTGGACGTGACCCCATGGGCTAGACCAGGTATTGTTCTGTGAACCAGGTCACCCAACTAACCAAGATGCTGGACTCACTGCTCGAAGGAGAAATAGAAGACCCTGACCTACTGGAGTGCTTCTTCCTGGAGGCGCTGTACTGCTCCCTGGGGGCCTGCCTGCTGGAGGACGGCAGGGCCAAATTTGATGACTGCGTGAAACGCGTGGCGTCACTGTCTACCGTGGACACGGACGGCGTCTGGGCCGGACCCGGGGAATTACCAGGTAAGAAACGAGTGTGACGTGTGTTCCTACTCTGGGGGCTTTTGATGAGACCTTCCTTCTCCATGCCTCACGGTCAGAGCGCCGGGTGGAACCCCCAGGAGAAGGTCAAGTCCGAGGGCTGCTACTCACATCAAATGTTCTGTCACCTGAGTGCAGGCGCGTCTTGCCTTCTCTCTGCTCCAGCAGTGTAGATTTTCCATTCTCTCCTCCTCTGGAGTCCCCCATCTGGTTTTGTTTTGTCACCACCTCCCTTACAGTTCCGGGATTTGAACTCATCACCTCTACTCCCAAGTAGAATGATTTGTACAGGGGTGGGGGGCTGGTAGGTCATTTAGGAAATAATCGTACTAAGATCTTAGAATTTTTATCCCACAGCAAAGAGAGACAGGACTACTTGTTATTGCCGTCAGGGTTGTCAGGTCGGTTCTGATCAGAGCCGCCCTGTCCGGGCCTGCGCTGGCTGCCCAGTTGTTTCATCCGAGCCCGTTGTTGCAGCCACCCTGTCCGCCAGCCAGGGGCAGCGTCTCCTCGTTCTTTGATGACACTCTACTTTCCTAAGCATGATGTCCTTCCCCAGGGACTGGTCTTGCTTGATAACCTGTCCGAAGTGCATGAGAAAGTCCCACCAGCCTCATTTCTAAGGATCATCTGGCTGCACTTCTTCTTCCAAGACAAGTGAATTCATTCATACTTCTAGCAGTCTGTAGTCAAGTATTTTTTCCAACACCTTAATTCAAACGCATCAGGTCCAGTTTGGTCTTCCTCGTTTACTTGCTGGCTAAAGGACTATAAACTGAGGCAATTAAGATAACATGAATGTGTCTGTGTACACGTGATCGTATGATGCTCACCTAGAAACATTGGAATTCCTTCCGTGTTTATCTCTTACTGCTATTTGAGATGGCCTGCCAGGTAGGTAAGTTGCTAGGTTGCTTGGACCCCTTCAAACCTCCCCCGTAGTTTCAATCCTGTGCCCTCTGCCCCTCCGTGTCTCTACAATGGCTCACCCCCCCCACACACACACACACACACTGGTCCTACTGACTGCCCTGGAGAGACAGGAGCCTGCCTAGTATATGTCCCTGTTCCCACTCTAGTGTCCTCTAATCCACTTTCCTAAATGCCAGGTCCTACCCGTTCAGGGACCCAGTGCCTTTGCGGTAGAGAGCAGGTGCCTTAATGACTTCCAGGCCCTTTGTGACATGGCCCTGCTTGCCCTCTCCCCCGTGCTCCATTGGCCAACTCTCTCTCTGCCTCTCTCTCTCTCCCTGCCCTCCTCAAGATCTCTAGCTCTGTTCTTCCCCGGCAGAGTCTCCTAGCTTCCCTACTTCTCTTGGGCCAGGATCACGGATCCTTCGGGGCTCGGGCTCCGTGTCCTTTCCTGTGGGAGCGGGAACATCCGGGGTTGCCAGTGGCTTCCCTTAGCACCGCGTGTTTTCTCTCGGTTCCAGAGGCCAGGAGGCCAGGGCCACAGTGTGGGCAGGGTCATGCTCCCTCCGAGGGCTCCCGGGGCGGATCCTTGACGGTGGCTGCATCACTCTAGCCCACCAGTGTTGTCCCCTGGTCTTCCCGGGTGTGTCGGCATCTCTCCTCTCGTTCTAAGAAGGACACCAGCCGTTGGCTGAAGGGAGGCCTACCCGATTCAGCAGGAGTCGCGTGAACGGGTGGCTTCTGCACAGACCGTGTTACATTCTGAGGTGCTGAGTGGACACGGCACTGGGAGGGGCACTGCTGGCACCTGCTATAACTTCAAACAAATCTTTCTTGGGAGAAGTACAAACGGAATGCTGCTTGGAACGAGGACAGCAAGACTTTGTCTCACGTACGGTGGCCATGTTCTCAGGAGGCACCGGTCCCTGGAAGAGGTCACCATGGTTGAAGAAGTCCCTTGACTGCAAGATGGGTGGACACCGTGGCTGCAACGATGGGCTCAAACATAGCAACAACTGCGCAGGGTGATTGTGTCCTGTTGTGCCCAGGGTCGCTGTGAGTCAGAGCCACGGCAGACCTTCCTTGCAGTGGTGGCTCCGATAGTTCTTCCTGGGGGCAGGGAGTGAGGAAGAGGGTGTATGAGGGACTGGCCTTCCAGCTAGGCTCATGTAGCACCCTATGGAGGACTGAGGCTGCCTGAACTGCCCACCCACGGTACCTCATCTTTCCAGGCCCCTCTCATGCCCCATCTTGGTGGCACGTCATTGACCCAGCTATTCCCGACCACAGACCGCAGCCCTCTGCATTGAAATGTCTGCTCACTTGCCACTATCTGCCCCAACCGGACACAGCAGAGATAGAGGGTTTTCTGTCTCCCCGGCACCAGGGAGGTCCTCAGCAGGTGACCGTCCAGAGAATGGTGCCATTCGTTGCAGGTGCGCTGCTTGTGAGCAGCCTGCTCCAGAGCCGTCCCTGCCTTCTCCAGTCCAGCACAAAGCGAACCAGACCACCCTCTCTTCCCTGCAGGTCAGCTCCCAACCTTGTACGACTTTCATTTCGACTCCAAACAGAAGAAATGGATCCCATGGAATAGGCTGGTTCCAGAGTATGTGCATGTTCGCGAGAAGAAATTTGTGGACATCCTGGGTAAGCGGGGCCCAAGGAGCAAGAGGACTGGGGGAGGCCACCCGAGGGGCTGAGCAGGGTACACGCAGCCCTCCCAGGTAGCACCCTGAAGTGTCTGTGACCATCAGCGCAGCGCGTTCCCTGGTCAGGTGGCACTGACAGGTCAGCGGGTGGTGGCCGTTTGCTTTCCCCCTTGCTCCCCACGGAGTCTCTCCAGCTCACAGGAGGATCAGAGGAGTGCTTCGTCAGAGACCCAGCTCGAAAAGTCACATGCTGTGGACTTCACACAGTGACCCCTATTCCGGACACTGTGAATGCCACACATTGCATCTTGAATAAGGTACCCAAGTGCAAAGCGACTGGGAGGAAGATGAGGCTCTCTGCTTCCCTGAAGCGTTTCCGTCCCAGAGACCCACACGGGCAGTTCTAACCTGTCCTGTAGCGTCGCCATGAGTCAGAATCGACTCAACGATGGTGCGTTTGGGGCGGGGAGTAAGCCAAGCCTTTTATTGTGGGTTTTCTCCATCTTCAGAGGAAGTTATTGGCCAGGAAGACAAATTCCTTGGGCTTATGGATGACATAATCCAAGGAGCAGTTGCATTTTTAGCATCCCGAACAGAAATCAAGTGAAGAGCAACGTGGGCATTCTAAACCTGGCTTGTGGGAGCTGACGGCTCCCCTGTAGACTCCCTGTAGACTTCATCAAACGGTGCACTTTAACTAGGTGGATTTTATGGGGTATAAGTAATACCTCAGTAAAGCTGTGAAATATAATAGTTTGGGAACAAAATTCTCCTAAGAAGACCCCCGTTATATATATGTTTTTGAAACCACGTCTTGACATTTTGTTGATGCTTTTTATGGGTTCTATAAAAGCTCCAAGTTTCCAAATGCTGATGTTACGAGGGGCCGTCACAAAGTTCACCGGGAAATGGAATAAAAACATAGTGGAATTTTCCTCATGAACTTTTTGGACCCCCCTCACCTTTGGGTTTCTTGGGATGCTACCGTTCTTAATGTGCGTGTGTTCAGTTCATACAGTGGATACCATCCGTACAAGCTGGATGCTGCAGCAAATGGTTAAAATAAAGCAGCCCGTTCTCTTGGTGGGCGAATCTGGCACGTCTAAGACAGCCACCACCCAGAACTTCCTCAAAAATCTCAACGAAGAGCTGAACGTAAGTCATTGTCTCCGTTACCCCACACTCACCGGCTTCCTATAACAAATCACTTACTACCTCCTGGTTGTGCATGTATGATCCAAAAGCGCCTCAGCTGGGTGGCTGCAGCTCAGGGTCTCTCGTCGGGCTGTGGTCCGTTTGCTGGCGGGGCTGCGGCATCGAAGGCTGGACTGTGGCCGTGGCTTGTGCTTGAATATCCCTGCTCATATTGAACATGGATTTGTCGGTTCATCTCATCGGGTACACTCATTCTCTGACACAGGCCGGGCAGCTGGTATTCAAATCATCTCACAGGCGAGGACAAGAAGGCTCTTAAGTTTAACAGACTTTTCTAGATATTTGCTTATTGTGGATTTCCCATTAGTGCAATCATTCATTATTTCTCCAAGCTCTTTAGTATTTTTCAGCTACTAAACCAAGAATGACTCTTTCCTTTTGACAAGATGTATGTCTTGCCTCTCCCTTCCTCCACCTGACTCACCATCCGTCCCTCCGTTTATCCATCTAGCCATGGATACATCTACCCGTCCACATATTTGTCATTCACTCATCCACCACCCATCGATTTGTTCATCTGTCCATAGATCCACCGTCCATGTTTATTTCTCCATCCACACGCCCCTCCTTTTGGCAGGGTGAGGGCCCCCAGCTACACATGGCAGAGCCAAGACCACCTGATGGATGACGGCAGCTCATCACCAGCTCGCCCACCCCTGCGAAGGGGAGGAAACGCTCTAGCTTTCTCAGTTAAACAAGAAGGGAGCGCTCAGAGAAATGCCCCCGCGGTCCCATTTTTACGAAACAGCTAAAACTAGCAACTCCATGACAACAGAAGAGAGCCAGTGGTTACCAGGGACTGGGAGAAGAGGGGAGTGGGGCATTCAGCCACATTAAGCCAACTCTATCGCTATACCAAAGGAGCCCTGGTGGAACTATAGGTTATATATTGGGCCACTGGCCACAAGATCAGCAGTTCAAACCCTTCAGCCACTCGTCGGAGAAAGATGAGGCTTTTGGCTTAAGTACTGTATAGGGTCACTATGAATCTACTTGATGGCAGTAAGCTTGTGTTTTGATATTTCGGTATAAAACACATCGGTTCATTCCAGGCAAAGTCAAAGAAATAAAAGAAAAACAAACCCGCTGCCATCGAGTTGAGTCAGACCCATAGCAGTCCTGTAGGGCAGAATAGAACTGCCCCATGGGGCTGCTGGTGAGTTTGAAACACTGACCCCTTCGTAGGCAGCCCAAATGCTTAACCCATGGTGCCACCAGGGCTCTCCAAAGTCAAAGAATCATTGCCATCAAGTCACTGCTAACTCTTAGGGATCCTATAGGACAGGGTAGAGCTGCCTTGTGAGTTTCTGAGACTGTTTATGGAAGTAGAAAGCCCCATCTTTCCCCCCAGGGGTGGCTGCCGGGGGTCTCAAACTGCGGACCTTGAGGATTGCAGCCCACCTCATACCCATTAAGCCATCAGTGCTCTGAAAGCCACAGACAGTCTGTGAAAACTCAGTTAGGTCTGCATCCATTGTGGAAAACTGGGACTCTCCACTCTCTGGGACGGGATCCCCCTGGCTGCAGGTCAGAGCTGAAACCGGAAGAGTCCCAGGAAAATGGACAGTTAGCCACCTCCTGATCCCGAAGCACTTCATACAGAAACTTCCTCAGCCTGTTGCTGGGATCTGGGTTGAAAAATGAGTGAAGGAACTTATGATGAAGTATAGACTCACACTGGGCTGTTGGGAGTCTGCTCAGCTGCCAATAAGTGTGCAAAACGGATGGTCCGTGCCTGACGGTCCAGCCTTGCTCTGATAGCACAGAGCAAACACCCGCTCTCCGAATGATCTCCTTTCAGATCGTGCTGATCGTCAACTTCTCGTCCCGCACCACGTCCCTGGATATCCAAAGAAACCTGGAAGCCAGCGTGGAGAAACGGACCAAAGACACGTATGGCCCACCCATGGGAAAGCGCCTCCTGGTGTTCATGGATGACCTGAACATGCCCAAGGTTGCACGAGGAGGTGGCAGGGGCGGGGCACGGCAGTGTGCGCGCGCGCATGTGTGTGTGTGTGTGTGTGTGTGTGTGAGAGCTAGGACAGCCTCTTGTATTTAGCAGTGTCTGAGGCCGCTGGGTGTGGGAGCCAGCTGAGTGGGAGCATTCCTAGGGTGCTCAGGTGCTCAGTCTGCTGACACAGAAGGACTGCTCTCTGAAAGGGGAAGAGTCTGAGGCCTGTCTGGATAGGACAGGCTGGATGAACAATCTGGAGGAGAAAACAACGGGACTGACAGTTCCGGGGGGACATGGGAGAGGGGGAGG